GTGAAGCCTTCCCAGCTGGGGCCAGACCCTGTACAAACCCTCATGTTCCTCTTTGAGACAAGGCCTGACCCTCCCTCTCAAGGCCGCGGGGTGTATAGGCTGACCCTGCCACAGTAGTTAGCTTTGTGCATAAAAACATCCTTGATGTCTAAGTGTTGCTTCAAAGGACAAGAAAGAATCGTGAGCTAAGAGATCAAGGGTAGAGATGGATGGTGGGACAGCTGTGATGTCTGCACTGGGTGCGGGGGGAGGTGGGAGGCAGGAGGATCAGATGTTCAAAGCCATCCTTGGCTTCATAGCAAGTTCAAGGCCAGCCTGGGACACATGTGATGCTATCTCAAAAAATAAAGCAACTGTGGGGTCTTCGCCAGCAGGTCCAAGCTCTGATGCCAGAACAAGACACGTAAGACAGACCTGAGAGAGGCCAGGCTAGCAAGGATGGGATACGTGGAGGGCATGGGTTCCATCCAAAGCACAGCCAGTGGGCTGGTGAGACCCCACTGTCCAGGCCTCTGTTTGTCTAGAAGGGCAGGAAGTCCAGTCTTTATGTGCAGTCCTGCCTTCTTTCCTTTTAATGAAGAAACCCATTCAAACTTTAAAAACTGTGTGTGAGATGTGTGTATGTGGGGTGTGTGTGTGATGTGGGTGTATGATGTGTGTGATGTGTGGTGTGTGTGTGTGATGTGTGGTGTGTGTTTGTGATGTGTGTAGGTATGATGTGGGTATGTGATGTGTGTGTGCAATGTGGGTATATGATATGTATGTGTGATGTTGGTATATGATGGTGTGTGTGTGTGAGATGTGTGTATGTGTGGTGTGTGTGTGATGTGGGTGTATGATGTGTGTGTGTGTGATGTGGTGTGTGTGTGATGTGTGTAGGTATGATGTGGGTATGTGATGTGTGTGTGCAATGTGGGTATATGATATGTATGTGTGATGTTGGTATATGATGGTGTGTGTGTGTGAGATGTGTGACGTGGGTGCTCACTGAAAATGTCATGGCACAACGTGGAGGTCTGAAGACACCCTCAGGTGTTGGTCCTTGCCTTCACCTTGTTTGAGAGATTATCTTGCTTGCCACTGCCTGTATCAGGTTAGCACACCCTGGAGCACGTCAGTTTCCTCCCCTCCCTGTGGAGTGCCGCAGGTACAGATGCTTGTCTGGTTTACATGGGTTCTAGGGTCCAAATTCAGGTCTTCACTCTTTCCTAGCAATTCCTGAGCCATCTCTCCAGCCCTCCCTCCTTTTTAAAAATTGTTACACGAGACAAGGACACCCCTCTGCCTTGTCCCCTGTCTCTCCTCCACTTATGCCCATGGGTCATGTGACCCCGTCTTCCAGATGCCTGCTCAGAGCTCTGCTTTTTTTGGGGGGGAGGGGTGGGTAGCTGCTCCAAGACTGGTGATTGCAAGGCTCCTCTCCTGCTTAGATGTAGGAATCTCGCCACCAAGAAAGTAACTGAGGGATCCCAAAGCTGGGCTTTCTTGGGGGCCTCTGGAAAAGGGGGACACACCCCTGGGAAACAGAAGGTGGGGTCATATTCCGCCTTTGCACTCTCCAGGATCCCTTGCGGTTGCCTTAGCTTAGCGCCCTATTTCCCACGTGGCTTGTGCGTGTATAGTCTGTCTGAGACGTTATTTTAACACATCTTAGAGGAATGTAGGTGCTGCTCATTTACTTCATTATTTATTTATTGGACCAAATCACTGCAACAATTCTTGTGCGTCGAGTGTAATCTGATTTGGTTTTCAACATGCTTTTAAAGTAAAGAAATAAATACAGGGGAGGCCTGTTAAAGGTGCTCACCAGGGAATGGGCCTTGAACCCATAACTTTAAAGTAATAGCCCCATTACAGGGTGGGGCGATGGGTTTTTAACTGTTCCCAAGCATCTAAGTCAGAAGGGTGAGGTGCTCACCACACAGTCTGGGCAGCTCCAAGCCCTTCCCGAGGCCATTTAACCTCCATTTACAAAGAAATAAAGCGAAATTGATGCTGATCAGGCTGGCTAGGGGATATTTCTGATCCATAAAAGCCCTCTGCCTGCAATTTGTGGAGTGGCCCTGTCACATGGGAAAGGCCTCACTGATAAAGATGGAGCTTTATGGCCCAATACTCACGGCTAACAGCAACCTAATGCCACATTTTCATTTCTGTGCAATTAATGTTAATGTCGACTACGAAATTGTCATTAAATACCATTTTAAAATCCATTCAATTTGCATATGCAAAGCTCATTTACCATCACAGGAGATGCAGCCAGCCCTTCATCACGCCCTTGGCCTGGAATTGTGGCCACTCTGTTTTATAGCAACTTAAGAGTTTTATATTGGGATCTTATGATAATGCATGGCCTTTTTGAGCCCAGCTGACTTGAAGGATGGAAAGCCGAAGTTCCCCAGGGACCAGAGGTTCTGTGTGTCTGAGACAAACCTACATTAGAAAGCGGGGACCCCTAGGGAGGAGCCTCAAATAAGGAGCCTGCCACCTGACTGTAGGCCTGGCTCCGTTAGCAGCAATGCTGTGTGACCTTGGGGCGCTCTTCTCACCTCTCTGAACTTTTCCTCTCCTGTTTTCAATAAGATCTCCCAGCCAAGTGATTGCTTATATATGTTCTAATAGTAAATGTTTCAAAATAGAAGAATTTTACTTAAGAATCTGGGCCAGCCAGGCGGTGGTGGTGGTGGTGGTGGCGGCTCACGACTTTAATCCCAGCACTTGGGAGGCAGAGCCAGAGGGATCTCTGTGAGTTCAAGGCTAGCTTTGTCCACAAAGCAAGTTCCAGGACAGCCAGGGCTGTTACACAGAGAAACCATGTCTCAAAAAACCAACAACAAAAAGAATCTGGGCCAGGCTCTGACTTGCATGAATTTGGGGAGGTCAGTTAACCCCTCCCAGCTTCCTGTGGGTAGATAGGACCCCTAGTAGTCTCCAGTGAATATCTAATGAAGATTTACAGAAAAAAATGGGGAGAGAGAATGAGGTCACTGGTATGGCTCCCCTATTATGCAGGAGGAGGAAACAGAATTCCCAAGTGAAAAAGATTGTCAAAACTCAAGGCCCAACAATCACATTCTAGAAGCCCGTATATAAAACAGGAGAAAGTAGGAAGAAGTTCAGAGAGGTAAAGAGAACTTCCAAGGTCACACAGCAGATGGCTCACTGAGCTGCGCTCAATCAGGCTGGCAAGCTGCCTGCCTAGTGCTCCCTCCTTTGGGGAATTGGGAACAGACACAGAACCGAAGCTGACTCTTGACCCAGACTTCCCCTGATACCAAACTGTCTCGAGGACTCCAGGATGGGCTGCTGCAGGAATTCTGTCACAGCTCGGCTGACCAATTCTGAGGGACCCCTTGGCCCAAGGGCTGGAGTTAGAGAAGAAGATATGTGACCCGAATACCCAAATAAAAGACCTAAAAGGCCTGAGCAGGGCAAAGGTCACGCTCTTGGACCTGTGGGGAGCTTGCTGAAGTCAGGGCTTGGTGACCTTCCCCAGACCTTCCTGATTGCCACTGGGGATGAGAGGAGAGGCGGCCTTGCAGCCTCGTTCTGTGTTGTGAGTGCACTGCACTGTCTGCACCTGTTAATAAGCCTAACTTGATTCCAGAATTCCACCCCTCGTCAGTGGGCTATCGTGGAGACTCTACGGTCTGCAGGGACAAGGTGAGGAGGGCACCTTTGCGAGAAGCTGAACTGTTGTGATCCGGAACCCAGGTGACCGGTCAACTCTCTCACGAGCCTCACCACCACCACACCCCAGGCTTTAAGGGTGCTGTGCACAGAAACGCACTTCCAGTGGGCCATGGTGGGCCAGTGAAAAGGGGCTGCCAGACTGGACTCTGAAGAATTGAAGCATTTTCCCCAGCAAGATGGTGTGACCTGTTAAAGCTGCTCCGGGTGTTAGATATTCTACAAGGCTGACTGACTGACCTTCGAGACGGCAGAGGAGTAGGATGTCGCAGGCCCAGAGACAGGCTATCTTGGGCTAGCGTTAGCCTCATTGCCCACCAGTGTCTGAGCTAACCTCCTTTCGTAAGGTCCACACAGACACCCCAAAGCCTAAGGATATCATCAGATGGCATCTGAGGCTGAGCAGAGTCTCCCCTGTGAGGAAGCTGGTGGGCTTTGGGGAGCTGGGTTTCAGTTTGGGAATTAAACAACTGGAAGGATGGTGGCTGAGAGTGACAGAAATGTGCCCATCCCCTCTGGTTAAAGGGATAGGCCTGGTATTGAGGATTTTACCACAATAAACACATGAGAGAAAGAAAAGGATTCTCACCAACCAGCAGACAAGCAACAGGAGTGGGGTAGCACATTGCTGGGGGCCGAGGAATCAGGCTCCCTGAATGACCAAGCTTGATCCAATAGTCCTGTTTGGAGTCAGGGTGGAATGAGTACCCATCATGCACATGGGCTGATGTAGGAAAAAAAATATGGAGAGAGACATATGATGGAGGCCAGCATGAGTGCGTAGAACTAGGGAGGGGGCTAGTCCTGAAAACAGTGAGCAGCCAGCAGGCCTGGTACCGTGGGAAACGGGGGCTCCCTTGGTGACTGATCTGGGCTCCAGACTGACCGTTCTTTGCCGTAGAGACCATGGCACTGGCATTGGCAGGGACCCATGTGATCTATGTGGTCACAGGACCAGAGAGCTCACTTCTCAGCGTAACCCGTGCTTCTGTGGTACGAGCTAGATTTTCTACATTTATCTGATGGTTTGTGACAGGACATCTTTCATTTCATAAGCTAATAATACAGCTTACCACAAAGGTTTATTTTTGTTTATGTGTGTGGGTGTTTGCCTGCATGTGTGTATGTGCACTACAGAGACCAGAAAGGTGTCAGGTCCCCTGGAACTAGGGTTATACATGGTTGTAAGTCCCATGTAGGTGCTGGGAACTAAACCCGACTCTTGCAAAAGCAACAAGTGCTCTTAACCGTTGCTGAGCCATCTCTCCAGCCCCTAATCTCCTCACTCTTTTTGAATTGCAGCATCTTAACTACCAACACAGCTCATGTATGCTGATCCAGCTCCTACTAAAAAAAAGTCTTCAATGAAGTGAAGACTTGAAACCTCTTAGCAAGGAGGCAGCAGGGTAAGGTTCCTGGCTAACCACAGTCCAGACTCAAGTCCTCCTGCTTTTGCAGCAGGCACTGGCTTTAAGGCAGTGTCTTATGTAGCCCAGGCTGGCTTCACACTTGTAGGCAATATAGACAAGAATGACTGTGAATTCCTAACCTCCTGCCCGTGCCTACAAAGTACTGTGACCATAGGCATGTGCTATCACACCTGACCAATGACCTTGAATAAGGAAAATCTTTGGCCAGTGTTCCTGCTTCCCACTACAGCCTGGCTTCAGCCACTCCAGTGCTCTGCTTCTGGCCTGCAGTTCCCTCGTTAGCCAAAGAGAAGGTGGGAGCCGGGTTCCCTGACCTTACCGTGAACGGATCCCAAAGGTCACATTGGGAGGAGCAGAGGGTGGCTCCTTCTGTCGCCGGTCTTCCTGATCGCTGATTCGGATGTCATTAAGTTCGCGATAGAGCATATTTTCCCTGGCAGTCACCAAGCCAGCTTTGACAGCCCCACGGTTCATGGCAATATAGTTCCGGGTCAGCTCGTGGGGGCAGGTGGGTTGCTGCTTAAACACATTCCAGTGCCCAATGGCTGCAGGCAAGGAGATAACGGGGGGGGGGGGGAGGGGGGGAATCAGTGGGAGGAGAGGGCACAGGGCTCCCATTGCCCTCATCACAGGGGCCAGCACTGCCTGGCCTGGCCGGCAAACCACCTGAAGGGAGGAACAGGTCTCCTGGAGATCCCAAAGGGGGTGCATGATGATCAGCTTTAACTGTCAGCTTAGTTTCAACAAGAGATTGTCTGTGAGAGGTTGCTCAACTAAGTTAGTTGATGGGGGGGGGACCCAGTCCACTGTGGGCGGCACCATTCTTAGGCAGCACCACTGTAAGAGTAGAGAAGTCAAGCTGATCACAGGCAAGCTTGTGAGCAGGTAGGTGTACATTCATCCCCTCTGCTCTCGACGGAGGATGCAATGTGTCTATGCTTCTGTCACCGACTCCCCTGCAGTGACCTGGGACTGTGAGCTAAATAAGGCCCCCTCTGCCCTGAACTGCTTGTTGTCAGAGTTCCCCCCACCCTCCAGACAGGGCTTCTCTGTGTAGCCCTGGCTATCTTGGAACTCACTCTGCAGACCAGGCTGGCCTCAAACTCAGAGATTCTCCTGCCTGTTCCACTACTGCCTGGCTTTGTTGTCAGAATATTTTATCAGGAAAAAAAACCAAACTAGTTGGCTTTGACTTCTACTGGGAAGGACCTCAGGAGGTTGGCCCTGAGACTGTTCAGTGTCTGCTTCATGGTAAAGGATGAGGACAGCCACACTTGGGGTATCTCTGATGGTTCCCTACTGCTCACTCCTGGGCCCCTCATTGCTCTCCTTTTTGCCTGTGTTCTTACCACTGGGATACCAGCTCTTTCCCTCTTATTTTCCCTCTGTCCCCGCCAAGCGGCTTTATACAAGCTGGCTAAGAGTGGGAAGGAGATGTAAATCCTTCATCCACCTCTGGAATCTCTGTGCTCCCAAAGACACCCACTCACCTTCAGGGACTCCTCCATCTAGCCCCCGGATGTAGAGTCCATAATTAAAGTTGATGCCAGGCAGGCTGCAGCTTCTCTCCCGGGGCTTGCCAAGCTCTGCCTGTTGGGGGAAGAGGGCCGAAGTAAGGAGAGGAGCTTAGCAGGGCTGAGCACCATCTCCCATGACAGCAGGGTGCAGTTGGCAGCAAGCACTTTTACCTGCTAAGCCCTCCTTCTTGTCCAGTATTTGTCTTTTCTCAATGGTGAATATGCATAGAATTATCTCTACTTTTTACCCCCTCCCCCCCCCCCCGCTTATTTTAAAGCTTTTCGGACACGTGAGCTTCGTCACATTTGTAGACTGTTAAGCAAACTTGGCTACTAATAATTTTTTACTTGCTGGGCAGTTGTGGCGCACGCCTTTAATCCCCAGCCCTTGGAAGGCAGAGGCAGGCAGATCTCTGTGAGTTCGAGGCCAGTCTGGTCTACAGAGTGAGTTCCAGGATGGCCAGGACTGTTACACAGAGAAACCCTGTTTTGAAATACAATAATAAATTTTGACTGTAATCTTCTAGTGTGGGTGGGGATAGCTTGGCTGGCAGGTGTCTGCAGGGCTCAGTGTTTCTGGTTTTTCTCTATGTGGGCAGTTCTGTCTTGACAATGGACCATTCTGTGCATTTTCTACACCTAGGACTGGCTTCTTTCTTAATCTCCACATCTCTCTAGAATGGAAGTTCCCTGAGGCTAAGACCATCAGAAAACACATTTATATTATGATTTATGACAGCAAAATTACAGTTATGAAGTAGCAACCCATCCCAACACAAGGAACTTTGTATTAGAGGGTCACAATGTTAGGAAGGTTGAGAACCACTAATCTAGGGGCTCAGGGCTCATTGCCCCCACTTTTCAGATGGAGAGAGTGAGGTGGCATCCACGTGGCCGTGGGTAGGAGGGGTGGAGTCAGTGGGAATCCCAGTTTTTTGTCTTCACCCCATGGGCTGAGTAAATGTCAGAGCCAAGGGGCTTTCTGGTGCTGTCAGCCTGTGGGCTGTGGACACACTCTTGCGGGTGTGTCCATGGTCACAGGCTGAGAGTACCCCCTGGTGGCTGGGGTTATGTCCCCCAGGATCTGCCCCGTTGGGTCATTCTGAGGATCTGGCAGCTCCCGGCTTACAAGATGTTCCATGGTGTGTGAAGGAGCAGAACTCAGGGAGGACCTTCAGAACTGCTCACAGCTCTGGCAGGACCTCGCCGGCAGCCCTTGCTGTCTCTGCAACGTTGGCAGCTCAGTATCAGACTGAGGCAGAGTAGACCCACCATCGGCTGATGGATCAATAGGTGTCCCAGCTCCGTCTCCTATACTCTCTGCTGCCACACCCTCACTCCCAAACTCAAAGTGGCCCCGCCTTCATCTGAGTGTTTATATTTTTCTGAGCTGGAGTCTTATGTGACATAAACTGGCCTCAAACTCACTGAGTCAAGGATGATCTTGAATTTCTTTTCCTCCTGCCTTTACCTCCCAAGCACTGGGATTCAGGCTTGAGTTGTCACACCCAGTTTGTGTGGTGCATGCTAGGCTGTGTTATTATTACATCCTGTTCCACTCACTTGGGGCTTGGAAGTACCCTTCTTCATTGCCAAGAACACACATACTAGGCCCTCTTGCATGGGGGTCATACAGTGTCTGAGGCTCCTCTTCTTGGTGACTTATGGCAGGTGTGCAATAAGTGCCTACGATAAAAAGCCTCTTAGGGGTGGAGTGATAGCTGGGTGCTTAGGATTATGTACTGCTCTTGTAGAGGTCCCAACCAATGTTGGGAGGCTTGTGACTGCTTGTAATTCCAGAATCTGATGCCCCCTTCTGGTCTCTATGAGTACTACACTCAGGTGCACTTTCCCCAAACACAGACACATACAGTCACATAAATAAAAACAAATAGCTTTGGTTTGTTTCTTTTTTTGAGAGAGGGTCTCACTATGTGGCCCTGTCAGGTCTGGAACTCACTATGCAGACTAAGCTAGCTTTGAATTCACAGAAGTCTGTCTGCCTCTGTGATGGGATTATAGGTGTGTACCACCATACTTGGCTAAAAATAATCTGTTAAACCCTCTTCGGAGAAGACTCTGGGATGGTAGTCTGGATAGGTTCCTTGTTGCCTTTCAAGGTCCATAAAAGTATCTGCCACAGCGTACTGGGCCTTGACAGCATGGCTCTTCAAAGGCAGACATAGAGGGCCACAAGGGTCCACCATGTGAATGCCCAGAACAGGCAGGAAGGTGTGAGGCTCCTGGGTCAGGAGTGGATGGTGAGTGAGGGATGGCGAGGCTATCTAAGGGACAGTTCCCTGGGAGGGAGAAAACCATCCTACTGCCCATGGTGTCAGTTGTTTGACACTGGTTAGCCTAAGGGTCGGTACATCTTACACAGCGAGAACAGGTGAACTGGGTGGTATGATGATTATATCTCAAACAAGCTGTGGGCAAAGTGTGAAGAAAAGTAGTTAAGTTAGCAATTGTCTGATGTTTGGCTAGCTCCACCCCAGCTCCTGGAGGCTGTGTCCTCTGGGGGCAGTGGTGCTCCACCCCAGCTCCTGGAGGCTGTGTCCTTTGTGGGGGAGTGGTCCAGTATGTGAGTATGGGTGGGGGAATGCATGCATGTATGTGCTTGTATGTTCATATGCATGGAGGTCAGGGGACAACCCTAGGTATCGTTCTCCAGGTGCTTTCTGCCTTGTTTTATGTAACAGAGTCTCACTGCCAGTAGGCCGGCCATCGGGTTGAGCCTGGGCAGCCTCCTGCTGTCCCTTCCCCCCTCAGTGGGTCCCAAAGGTGTCCCACCACATTCTCTTTCTGCATGGATTCTGGGGTCAGCTCAGGTCCTTGCACTCGGAGGGCAAGCACTTCACCAACCGAGTCATGCGCCCAGCCCTGTTTGTTTTAATAGTCACTTACCATTTTTAGAACAATACACATGGATTTTTAAGAAATAATCGTTATCTTAATATGACTTGAAGTGCGTGATCATGTATTTTAAGGTTATATTTGGTTTCCCCCAGTACCCAGCAATACAGTAGATGCTAACAAACATGCTTGAATGGGGGAATGAACTAACTAGGCCTTTGGTAAACCAGGTGTTAACAAATTCACTACACAGCAAATCATGACACAGAGGCTCTTTATTAACTATGAAAGCTCAGCCTTAGTTAGGCTTGTTTCTAACTAGCTCTTATCACTTAAATTAACCCATTTCTATTCACTAAGTGCTGCCGCGTGACTCTGGACTTTCACCTCTCCTGCAGCTCCTGATTCCTCTTCATCGGGCCGGTGACTCCCCTTTCTTCTTCCCTGAGACCTCTCTGTCCCCAGAAGTCCCACCCAACCTCTTCCTGCCTAACTATTGGCCATTCAGCCCTTTATTAAACCGATCACAGTGACACAGTGTAAGGAATATTCCGCCTCAACACACTGGATGGCATAAACATCATCAGTTCTTTCCAGATGTTC